CCGCCCCGGCCCGGACCACCCGGATTGACACCTCTAGGTTGAGCTAGTGATTAGTATATCAATGTACATATAAAGGAAAAATGAGAAAAAATGATATAAGATGAACATAGGTTGTTCTGAAAATCCTCAACAAAGACGTCTAAGACGATGTTCTCTTCGTTCAAGAAGAGCTTTAGAAGATGTTTATGGTAAAGTAAGAAGATTGGTTGCATAGAAATAGAGCTTTTATCAAGAATTGGGTCGATTGATTTTAACATGCTGTACATGTTAAATTACTAGTTTCCAATTTTATATACGGGAATATGATTATTATGTATAGTAATAGAGTCATCATTGAGTTGTAAAACTCCTGCAAGAAAGATAAAAATTTGGCATTACCACCAGAACGCACTATAGATTTTATAATAACTATGTTTTTTATTGTTAGAAGTTGATGCATTTGACTATAGGTCCGAGTTTATGAAATTATTCAGTGAAAAATGGAAATTAAACGCGCAAGGCTGAGTAGCAAAAATTTTTCCCTTGCTATGTTGAGGAACACTTATATAAGATCTTCTTCGTAGTTGTTGAGTTGACTAAAGTCTTTGTGAGTTACTAAGAATTAGCAAAATAGAACTGCAGATTTTGGTGGTATGCAAACACGGCTTTGTGTATTTGATTGCATGTTTTTTGGTGTTAATATGAAGTTGTGTACTCTGGTGCTTTACACTAGGAAGCTGACCTAGACTCAAAAGCTCTGATGGCGGATAATATCTAACAAGGATGAAAATGCAAGGATAATATTTGCTATATGTTAAAATCCTTAAGCTTACGAGGATATTTGAGCTTAGTTAATTATCTAGGAAGCTGACCTAGATATAAAGTTGTGTACTCTGGTGCTTTACACTAGGAAGCTGACCTAGACTCGAAGCTCTGATGGCGGATAATATCTAACAAGGATGAAAATGCAGGGATAATATTTGCTATATGTTAAAATCCTTAAGCTTACGAGGATATCTGAGTTCAGTTAATTATCTAAGTACGTTATTTTGCAATATGCAGTAATGAAAATTTACAAAAAATTGATTTGATGAACTATTGATATAATACATGTGATTTCCTTCTCTACATGCGCAGACTGTTTCCCTTTTTACTTGTATTCTAAATTACCGTTGGAACAACTTCAAACTGCTAAGAGGATATATGATGATGTTGCAGGCTAAGCCAAGTTCTGTTGGGGATGTTCATAGACGAAGCAGCCTTGAATCACGTTTTTGTTACGATAATCCTATTCCAGAGGAGATAATTGAAAAGCCTATTGGGTTGTCGTTGGCTCTGAAAAATGTTGGAGATAACCCACATTGCCCAAGTTGTCAAGCAAAAGGAGCTGTTCTTTGTACCACGTGCTCTGGTTCAGGATTATATGTAGAATCTATCTTGGAGAGTCAGGGAATCATTGTCAAAGTACGCTGTCTTGGTAATGTTCTAACCTGATTTTGGGTTTTCTTTTTCGGCTGTTAAATTTTTCTGGATTCCCCCTCTAACGATACACAGGATATGAGTATAGACATCTCTAGTCTTGTTTGAATCTTGGTTTCTGGCGAGCATTCTATTCGATATTCTTATAAGGCTCTCATAGTAGTCGACAAGGATATAGTGAGCATTCTAATATATCGATGGAAGACTCAATATTCCCAATGCAAAAAGTACACGAAGACACAAGTAGGTCTCAAGCTTGACTAGCAGTCGAGTCCACGATTTTAAGTCATGTTGTTCTTTCAAGGTGAAATGAACAAATAGAGATGAATCCTTTCAAGATCAGTGTAGTTAGCCATTCTTTTAACCTAATCAGTCTTTGAACTAATTTTTATATGAATTTTTAGGCTTACAGAATATTTTTCAGGTAGGTTTATGGTGGCAACAGTTGGCAGCAGCAACGAGTGACCCAAGAGGGAGAGACTAATGAAGGGGAGAGAAAGTAGAGTGAGAAAAAACATTGACAGGGAGACAGGGGCGGACCGAGACCATTTT